TCACCCTCCTCCAAAATCTTGCATGTTCCCACAAATTTATGACCTCTTTTTTTCTTTGTTATTTTTACATACGTGTGTGCATTGACACATAAATACAACTAACTCAGTCCATTCAGTGTTGCTTGTGTATATGTGATTTCAGGGGTGTGCACTTGGTGTTGGATAACAGATTAGGGATTGACGATTTCTCCTGCTCTCAGCTTTTCTTAGTTGCTTGTACTTTGTCTATGAGCGGGGCCCCGTGAGATTTCCTCTTCCTTGTCAGCATGTCTATTGGTGTTGCCCTCATTCAGCTCTTCTATCGGCAGTCACATTGTTGTGACAACACGAATGAATCTTCCCTGTCATTTCTAGGACACACAGTCTCACCAGCAGATTTCCTGGTCCTCTGAATCTTACAACCTTTCCACCCCCTCTTTTGAGATATTCCCTGGGCCTTAAGTGCAAGACTTAAGTTGTAGATGATAAGATAAATGATCATTTTTAAATGTTCCTCCTGGAGCCTGGAGCTAAGGAAACAGCTTCTCCTGTCGATGCCCCCAAACTTCCCCTCATGTCCCTTGAGTGCTGCTGGGAATGCTACATAGCACAGAGAAAATGGAGGGGATGTGAACTGGCAGGGTCAACTCTTTTTTTTTTTTTTTTTTTTAATGTAGGCCATCCAAAATATAAAAAATCTGTTTTAGGCTCAAGACAAAAACAGGAAAATGTCCACTAAGTGCTAGTGTTTGCTACAGCTGGGCTTTTTAATTTTTTTTTATTTTTAAGTGGGGGGGAGGAGGGATAGGGGGAGAGAGAGAGAAAGAGAACGAAGGAGGGAAGAAGTCTGCAGTGCCTGCAGAGGCCAGAAACACTGTATTCTTACACTAGGTTCCAGGGCTGGAGAGATAGCACAGTCCTAAAGTACCTGCCATGGAAGCATAAAGATCTAAGAGCAGATCCACATTATCCAAGTAAAAGCCAGATTGGTGGTGCACATCTGTAACCCCAGCACTGGGGTGGGTGGGGGGCCAGAGACAGGCAGGTCTCTAGAAATCGTTAACTAGACAGCATAGCTGAACCCATGAGCTCCAGGCTCATACCCACAATAGGTTGGATTTGTTACAAAACAAAGCTGGGAAGCCTCATGTGACAGGTCACAAATGCTTGCTTTGTAGTACTGAAAATAGGAGGCAGTGTAGAATGGAGAGGAAAGAGGTCACTCAGGCCTGGCCTGGCATTGGGACCTTCTTTCAACAGGTCACGTCATGTCAGGGTCCTCGTCCGTCAACCACGACAGATGGTTTCGAATGTGAGGGTGCTTCCAACTCTAAACTTCTGAAGTAGCTTCCCTTGGTGCCTAAAGCTTCTTTGCTAAAAAGACCCCAGTGCTTAACAACAGTTGACTTTTGTGATCTTTGAGCTTGACTGACAGTTCCTCAGGGAGGTAGTCCCTCAGCAGGGACAAAAAAAGCTCAGCCTCATGATGACATGGTTTAAAAGTCGTGTCTGCAGGTGATGGAATGCCATCTCTTGAGCCTTGCAGACTCTGAAGGGCTGTCGTAATGCCACACTGAGGAACTGCCAGTGGAAAAAGCCAGTGAAGTGAGAAAGGACAAGGGAGGAAGATTTTTGCTTCTGACTTGAAGCAGATCCCAACTGAGCTGAGCTGGAGCCCGACCCTGACAATCCTGAGGCCTCTCGCTCCCTGTGAACTGGTGGTGAGGCTTTGCCACTAACCAGTGAGGCTGAATCTAAAAGTAGCTTATTTACAGATCGTTCTTGGGTGGTTTTGTTTCGTTTTAATTTTAATTCCCTGAAAGAAGAGATCGTATGAGAATGGTTCTCCCTCACAGTGGAATCCGGTACCTGCTCTTCACAGGCGAAAGTGAGAAGCTAAGTTCCTTCTAAGAAATAGTGTTCTGGCTTCAGAGGTAACCTCTGGACTGGTGAATCCATACAGTGTAGATGCAAAGATGCTAAAGGGCTGATGCCACAGATCCAACAAGAGGCGGATAGCGGGTGCTTTGGGATCATCTGTTTTTGTGTCTTCTTTTAAATGCAGGATGCCCTGAGGGCAGGAGCCCTAGACTTTCAAGATTAGCTTCATATGTAAAGGCCCTCAGGAATCTTCAGGTGATGGGAGAGGGCGCCTGAGAAATCTGGAAACTGGAGCTTGCCAGTTCTGACTCTGCTGCCTGCTCACCACATCCTGCTAGTTCTGAGGTCCAGTGCACAACCCATCACTTGTCACTTGGAAGCTACTTAGAGAGGTGTGAGTGTGTGTGAGTGTGTGTGTGTGTGTATGTGTGTGTGTGCGCGTGCGCGCGCGCTGAGCATTTCTCTGTATAGCCCAGGCTAATCTGTTACTCCCTATATAGCCCAGACTGGCCTAAAAGACTGGAATCCTCAAGCTTTCTAGAGTATTAGGATTACAGGTATAAACTCTCACTGAGTAGGGTGTTTTCCTGTAAGGTTATTTTATATCAGAAATTATAATGTCCTGAAGAGCTAGTCACTAGCCCAGTTTTGTGTAAGCATAGGGCTCATACGGAACACCAGCAGCTAAGAAGCCATGTTAAGCCTTTATATCAAAAAAATTGCTTAGTTCTTTCTGGCTTAGACAGCTGTGGCTGGCTCTCCCTGCCTTGGTTTCTTAGGTAACTCTTCAGACACTTTAGGAGTGGGTCATCACAAGGTCAAAGCTGGTATGCTATAGCTCTAGTAAAAGTTGAAACTCATTGTCCTGACCTCAACGGCCTCTTGCTTGGGGCCAAACCTAATGCAAACATTGCAGCTCCTTCTGCTCAGGCAAAGACAAAATAGGCCTTAAACTTGGAACAGCGTGTTCTTCTGCTGTGTCTCTAACCAGCCTGCAAGCTGTTGCCCATTGAACCAGAGTGAGATTTTCTTGGCAAGAAGACAGAAAGAATTTCTTCTGAGGTATTCTGACAGCTTGATCCTAAGGCACCTCACATCCATCCCAGGGTTCTAGGCCCCTTCACTTCCTTGCAGCAGGAATTGCCCTGCTCTCCCACACCACCCCCCAAACACATAAAAAGTAAAGATTCTTGCTGGCATAGCCTAAGACACAGACTCCTAGTCCACTCCTGCCCTAGCAACAGCCTCCTTAAATGCCACCCTTGGACCCCATACAACATAGCTAACTGTTTTCACTGGACACCCATGTGTTTAGAGCTTCGGCATCCAAACAGACAATCACTTTCTGCTATTTGCCAGCGGCGCTGCCTGTCTGGTGACCTTGGCAGATGGAGAAAAGAGCTAATCCGTAGGTTACAAGCAGAAGGGTTATTGATGAAATGTCACCATCTGTTGGTGTCATTAAAATGATATGAGTCATAAAGAGTTGCTTTTGGGTTTTACCCAAAAAAGGGATAGAGGGATAGCTTGGAGTATAGAGAAGTTGCTAAATTGTGGATGGGGGTAGGGACAGAGTTGGGAGGGGACGCTGCCCAGGAAGAAAGAGGAGCTTGGTGAGCTCATTGGATTTAGCTTCTTGGTCTTCAGGGCAGCCAGTCGTCTGTTGGGTTAAACCAGTAGTTGGTATGAGATGAGGTGCTCATGAAGGCTGGTAGAGAACCTCAGCTCTCCATGCCCACTTCTTGGTACCTACTCCCAGGTGTGGAAGGGCAAGTCATTCATTTGGTTATATGAGGAAGAACCTCATTGGAAGAACACTCAGTATGCCCCCAGCCTTTTCAGTCTTCACTGCCCGTGCTTATCATTCTTGTGTCCACATGGCAGGGTAGGTATGTGGGCCCATAGGGGATGGTTTACCCCGTGGGTCACCTCTCCTCCAAGGACGATGAGGTGGCTAGGAACCACTGCTGGTGCTAGAAGCCTGCAAGAAGCTCTCTGTGGTATCTAAAGAAATGTCACTGCAAATCCTCCTCTTGAGATTTTTAGATCTGGGGCTTACTCCTGCTGCTACTGCTGTTTCATTTCTAAACAAGCAGGGTGGCCAGGGCTAGGTGGTGTCAGCAGTACCATGGTGGTGCTTCCGGGTCCCCATCTCAGGGACCAGTGGTCATCCTGCTGGGCAGACCCACCTTTTGTCTCTTCTGCCCGTGGGGCTTCAGAGCTGCTGACTTCGGTAGAGGCCACCAAAATGCTGGAAGCACACTGCCACATCGGAGACTGAGAACTTGTACCCTGCCTCTGAGATGCCAGGCAGGGTCAGTGCCATACCAGCCTTTAACTCCATTTCTCTGAGTCCTGACATGTGTGTCTGAATAAAGCTTGCCTTTAACAAGTGAAATGGTTTAAAATTCACCCAGTTGATTAAGAAAGTTACGGACACCTGCGCAGAAATTGCTAAGTAGGTTCTTGGGTGGATGGGAGGTAGCCAGGACCTCTCAGGATTCTCACTGAACTGCTCCTGAAGTGAGCTTCATGTGTCTGGGGAATGTAGGTTGGAGGGAAAGAGAGGAGAGAGGGAGGAAAGAGGGAAGCAAGGGTCCTTCCTCTCAAGGTTTCTGAATCATAGCCCAAGCCAAAAGGAAATGGGGTCACAGGCCAAAAGATCAGCAAATATTGTTAATCATAAAATGTTCATAAAGGGAGACTTTTTGGAATGATAAGGTGAATCATATCAAAGTGTATTATATGCATATATGCAAATGTCATAACAAAACCCATTACTTTGTACAGTTGAATATGAAAAGCAGATGGATCCAAAAAAAAAAAAAAAAGGCATGAGTAGTAAGTATAGTTGATGTTAAATAATCAATTGATAAATATGAGAAGCCATAATGTACCCAAAGAACGAAAAGAAAGTTCTACAGTGTTCTGTCGGGGTGAAAAACTGTTTGTTCCTGAGCCTCAGTCTGTGACAGATGGGGTGCTCCTACAAAAAGAACGCCTGGGAAGCAGCTGCGGTGGCTTTGAAAAAGACCTAGTAGGGCTCTGGCCCACCCCTGCTTGCTCTGCAGTCTTGCCATTGGTGGCCCATGACTCCCCTTGTTTCTGCCCGTTTATATCTGTGTCCTCTTGTTCTACAGCAGGCCACAGAGACTGCTGAGGAAGAGGATGACCAGCCCCTCAGCCTGTCCTGGCCATCCAACACCCGCAAGCAGGTCACATTCCTGATTGTTCTACCCATCGTCTTCCCTCTCTGGATCACCTTACCGGATGTCCGCAAACCTGTGAGTGAACCACTGTCCAGACAGCTGCCTGGTAAAAAGCAGGGTGGCCGCCATAGTCTCCTCCAGTTGTGTAAAAAGAGAAAGGTGAGGTGACGTGTAGGCATGTCTCTTCTCACACATACCTGAGACTTCAGTCCAGTGATTGTTGAGTCACTAGCAAACCTGAACCACCCCAGAACTTAGAAATATGAAACAATCACCGTCTTTCTTCTGCTCATGGATCCTGTGGGATGGGAATTGAAGCAGGGTTCACTGGGGATGTTTTTTCTCTGCCCCAGCAAGCCCAGGACTCCAGCTGGAAAGATTTGGATGGTTAGGGGGTGACTTAGATCT